AAATTAAGAGAGAAACGAGAAATGAAGAAAAAAAGAAAAAGAAAAAAAGAATCTGGACGCGATTTAGAGAACCAGAAGCTCCGTGCTTCACTTTATCAGCAAAGAAACGCGGGATCGGAGTCGTCATTATATATGCCAGTAATTATTTAGACGGTTGAAAATTAAAAAATAATAATAATAACAATTAATTAATATCTCAGAACGTCAAATTCTAAAAATATCAAGGCCGTACAGAAAGTGGGAACTGGAATAGGCGGTAAACGGTCACTTTCCAATGAGTAATAAAACGAGTTGGGTTAATTAATAATGAACTCCTAAAACTTTAATTGTGGGTCCAATCCCGATGACGTCGTTAGCCGTTATCAGTAGCAGAAAGAACTGGCCTCCTTTTGTAGACTAACTAACGCCGCCTAATTAACGGCAACCTTTAATAAACATTTTGAAAGAGTTTAAACAAAAAATTAAAAATTAAAAAATATATATTCAAAATTAAATTATAACAGCTAAGAGAACCATAAGTAATAATAATAAAATATTTTTATACTAATTACATGATTTGGAATTTTATAAAATTAAGAGAAAAACCTAATTTTCACTCTTATTTTAATATATATCATTAAAAAGAGAGCTACCATACAACTAATTTCCTTTATTTATTCTTTGCTTAAATTATATTTAATTCTATTTTACATAACTGTCGTGTAATTATTATTTTTAAGGAAGAAAACCCAAATAAATTTGCTTCTATTTTTATTTATTGAAATAATAATATGTATAAATAAAGAAATTTGCAAGATCTCCATAAACAGAGTGCAAATACATCCACTTCAGCTTAAATTGTTCAAATATATTATTTACTTTTAATATAAACTTCAATTAATTTCCCCTGTTTGTATTTTTCTGATGAATTTAAATGTCCATAATAAATATGGATCTACCATTCATGTCACCATTATTTGTTTTGTTAATAAATAAAATTAAAAAAAAAAAAGACAAAAAATCTAAATGGAAAATAGGTTAATACCAAAAATACCTATTAAAATGTATTTTCCACGGTCATATTTTCATGATCATTCTCTATGGTCTCCGTTCCTGTAAAGAAATGTGAGATTCCATGTCTATTGGTGATGGGAACGAAACATTTCTTATAAGTGAGTGAAAATTTCTCCTTAACATATACGCTTTAAAACCGTAAGGCTAACAGTGATACATAACGAACCAAAGCAGACAATATTTGTTAATAGTGGACTTGTGGGCTATTACAAATAGTATAAGACTCAAACAATGGATGAAGTGTCAGCGAGGACGTTGGGCCCTAAGAGAGTGAGATTGTGAGATTCCACATTATTTTAAGAGGGGAACGAAACATTTGGTAAATATTTAGACTACATGCAGGGAATGAAGTTAAGAATAAAATCTTTAAAAAAATAATAATAAAATAATACGAAAAGTGGGTCCCCTTGCAATAAATAAAGCGCGAAATACAACATGTGCGACACATTTAAATGTAAAATATAGTCTATATTAAAAAAAGGGGTATATTTTCTTGGGCGTGTGGCCATGTCCAATAACTTTAAGTTCTATTTTTAAATTATTTTTTTTATAAATAAAAAATTTGACTTTTATTTATTTTATTTTCCACTAGATATTAATTATAAAATCAAATAGTGGGATTTATTTATTTTGGAGAACTATATAACGTTATCATAATTTAATTCATTAAAACATTATCCACTCCATACAAATTTAAACACCTATGGAAGAATGTCTCACTGAGATGTGTTCGAGCAAACTGCAATTTGTGTCAGGTGAACCAAGAATTACCAGCTCAAGACCACTTCGAATCTAACACTAGCACGAGCATCAAAGTGTAGGTAACCAAGAATTACTACATTGGTTCGAGATTTTGTGGTAAGTCAAGATCTATTCCGATATCGATTTAATCGTGATTCACGTCATAAATAAAGATTATGAATAATATTCTCAAAATCAACCGCAACAAAATGAAAGTATTAGATTTGGTTTGTTTAGATCTATTTAATTAACATAAAATAAATTTTAAAAAAAGAGGGAAAAAAAACAACGGTGCAAAATTAAAGATGGGAAGATGTCAAGAAGAAGCAAGTTGGGCGAGGCGGTTCCTGTCAGCGTAGCAGTCTCTGTGACACTGACATCTGATTTGAAATATAAGCAAATCAACGGCTCATATTCTCTTGCTTAATTTTCGCCTTGTCTGCGTTTTTATTTTAACAGGTGGCAAAAATAGTATGTAAATAAATATTTTATTTCTTTTTCTGACATTTTTGCATGTCCAAAATATATGCTAAATTAATAATATGTTTGGTTAAAAAAAGTAACTTTAATTTTTTTTTTTTAGTTTTTAGATAATATATGAACTTAAAAAATATATAAAAAAGAACAAGAAAAATACGTTAATACTTTATTTTTAAAAAATACACTTTAATTTTTAAAATGATTTTAAAAGTAGTTTTCAATTATGAAATATTTTATTAATATTTTTTTTTTTAACTTCCATTTAAGACATCTTTCAACAAACTCAACTCAAAAAATTTATGGTCAAGTTGGGTTCATCATTGAACGTGAAACAATTTTTTCCTTTCGTTTTCAAGAATATTTCTTATCACAAATTATAAGATGAGATGAAGATTTGAATCAATAATCTCTTAACAGAAATAAAAAATGTTCTTCCCATGAAATCTCGTTACAATGTAGAACAATTTTTACTTTGTGTTAAGTATTTGGAAAGAATTATCAAAATATATATTTTTATAAATTAATACGAGAAATTATATATTTATCAATTGACGAAATTCTACCTAACTTATTTATGATTGTTAATTTTTTTTTTTTTTTTGTTGGGTAAGGAAACTACGATACAACTTTGGATAAGGTCGTACTTATTTTAATATAAAATATGTTATATTTTAAATCAAGTAGTTTAGGAAAAGGGACAAATAAATGGTAGAGAATATTTGGTAAGAAGAAAGAAGAAATTAAAGAAATGGGTTTTGATTTAATGCTTCATTATATCTCAATAACTACAACAAAGTACACTAAGAATGTGACATTTTAGGTGGACAAATGTCCAAATTGTCCCTAAAAAATTATCCCAAATTTCTCTTTTAACTATTAGGTGGGGCAATAAGATGTAATTTCTTCTCTCGTAGAAATCGAGAGGTTATTTAGTGATTTAGTCGTCGTTTTCACGGTGAAATATAGAGAGAAACAGCTCGTTTCGAGCAAATTCCCTTCAAAATTGTCCGTTTATTTTGATTGAGGTGGATATTTAAAAAAAAAAAAAAATCTGGTTATTATTGTTTTTAAAAAATAGTTATTTTAAAGTGAATATAATTTTTATTATTTACAATATTTCTAGCGTAGTATTTAGTTTAAATATTATAGTTAAAACTTCAAAATAAATAAATAAGACGTGGGGCCGGGAATATGAAGATACCCAGCTCTATCCCGAGGTATGAGGGGTAAAATGGACATATTTAATTATTATGATTATAGCTAAATATTGAGGTGGACTTTTTACATGCTTTTTCACCGAACCCACTTTTTTTATGGTCAGAGCCGACAAATGTAGAACCTAGGAAGATAATTTAATAAATGATTTTAATATTATTTATTAATATTAATTTAAAATTGATTTTTTGTAAAATAATGGAATTATGAGAAATTAAATTATGATTGACCAATAGAAATGGAGGAAAAGGGCCAAATTAGGAAGAAAATGAGGTGAGAGACAATGACATGTAGACACCAATGCCACGCCAAGGCCCTTATCTCTTTCTCTTGATTTCACAACTTTCTATCATTTTTTTTCCCTCTCAAAATATCGTCACATTCTTATCGATCGCAATCCGACTCGAAAACGAGTACATTGTCTAGTTATCATTACATTTATTTTGCTTCTCGTAATTTTTAAATGTATATTTTAAATTTAGTTGATAATAATTTCATTTTTTGAGTTTTTTTTTTTTTTTTTTTTTTTTTTTTTTTTTTTTTTTTTTTTTTTTTTTTTTTTTTTT